TCTTCGAGACTTGTTGGTCTTACAACTTTAACTTAATACTTTTTATTTTTTTTTATTATATAATTTAATTCTTATAATAATATATTTATTAAATTATACTTGCCTGGCTTATACTTAATTTTAAAGTTATAAGTTATAAATAATTTTACTTATTATGCCTGCCCTTAGTTTAGAACCTTTATTAAGAAAAAGTAATATAAGTTATTATAATTATACTATATATATATAAAATATAAAAAAGCTATTAAAATAATAATATTACTTTTTAAAATACTTAATTATTATAAATAATTTTTTAGTATAAACCTTATAGCAAAGCTTAGGTTTATATAATTAATAAAAATAAAATGCCATGGGGCGCCACTACTCCTATTTCTTTATTAAATAATTTTTTTAATTTAGCTAAGTAAGAATTCTTGTTATAATAAACCTTAATATATTAATAATAATAAAAATCTTTTTTCTTTAAATTAAAGTACTGCAGTACCAGTGGTTTAATAAAGTTTAACTTAATTTTTTTAAATATATTTTTTATATTAGTAAAAAATAAAAATGGCCTACTTTTATATTTTTTTACTATTTTTATTAAAAGCTAGGTTATTAAACATGTTACCTTAGTATAGCTAAAAATAAAATATTAAAAATAATTTATAAAGCCTAAAAAACCTATAACTTATAAAATAATATTAGCTTTAGTTAATTAGTAATAGTTTAACTATAATTTAAATTAATAAATATTTTTTTTATTTAATAATAAAGCCTAAAAACTTTACCTTTTTTTTTATAAAAACTATATTTTAATAATTTTATATATAAATTATACCTTTTTAATTAATTAAAAACTTTTTAAACATGGCGTACATGTTTTTCTTTTATTTTAAAAAAAATATAAATATTATTAACATAAATAATATAAAATTTATTAAAAATCCTGCTTATAGCTATATTAATATAAAATTAAAATATAATTAATATATTTATTAAGGTAAAAGGTATAATTATATACTTATAAGAATTATAATAAGTTAAAAATACTATTTTTATTTATTTCCCCTTTTAATTTATATTTTATAATACATATTATATAAATCTAGCTTAATAAAATATTATATATTTATTAATTAATTTATTAGCTTGTTAATATATATAATAAATGATAATTTTTATTAATTATTATATTTAATCCGTGGTAATTAATATAAAAATATAAAAATTTATTAAATTTTTAAATAAAAAGTACTAGTACTTTAGCACTACTTTAAAATAGCTTAATTTATTTTTTTAAGTATTTTATTAAAATACTTTTTAATATTTATAACCTATATTAAAAAAATTATAAATAAAACCTTATAAAGGCTTCTTTCCTTTTTTTAATAAATTTTTATAGTTTACTTTATTAATTAAAAGTTAAGTAGCTTTTTATTTCAAAAAAAATTTACTTTAATAAATATACTAAAATAGTAAAACCACCTTTACTTTTTTTATTTTTTTTAAATTAATAAAGTATTATAAGTACCAGTCCCTTGTGTATTATTTTTATAAATTTTTATAATATTTTAATTTTAATAAAAAGTATGTAAGTTTATTATATTCATTTTACTATAATAAGGTAAAAATTTAAATTTATTTTAATTATTTAGGAATATTTTAGGACTACTTAATAATTTTTATAAATAAAATTAATAATATAATATACTAGGTTAAATATTTTTATAACTTTTTTAAAATTATAAATTTAAGTACAGGCTTGCAAGCGCCTGTAGTAAAAAGTAAAAATATTATTTATATTAAACTTGCTATATTATATAATTAGTATTTATTTAAATTTTTTATTTTTATAAATATTGAACTAAAATAAAATTAATATTAGCCCTAGTATTAAGTAATACCTTAAATTATTAATTTATATTATTTTTTTATATTTTAAAATTTATAAAAATAGGAAATATAGTCTTTTTTTAAATTATATAATTTTAATAACTTAAAACTAATAAATTACTATTTATTTTTTATTAACTTTTTTAGGCTTTTTTTATTTAAATAGGCCTTTAACAAGTGGCCTAATTTATTATAATTTAAATAAAAACCCTTTTTTTAGTAGTGCTACTTCTCCTTTTTAAAAAGTAAGTTATTACTCTTTTTTTATTTTATTTTTTTATTTTTTTTTTAAAAAAGCCGCTCCGCCGCTATTTTAGTTTTATTTTAAGTTATTTTTATTTGTTTTATTTTTAAAATTAAAACTAGCTTTAAACTTTTATTAGCTTTCAAGGCTTTATTATATTTTAAAATAAACTTTATATAAATTACTATTATATTTACGCTAATAAAAGTTTTTAAGGGGTTTTTTTTAATTTTTTTTAAGTATAAATAAATATTTTTATTATAAGTTTCAGTAAGAATTTATACCCTAAACTTTAAATTATTAAAGTATAAATTTAATTTTATAAAGTAAAGGCTTAAAAATAGTATTTTAAGTATTTTATTGTTTAATCAAAAATTACTAGGTAGTGTAATAGCCCTAGGTTATAACTAAATTAATTTATATATATATAAAATTTTCAAAATTCACTTAAGTTAGCTTATTATTTTAAAATTTAGCTTAACCTTTTTAATAATTACAAGTATTTTTAAAGCTTTTTAAATAATAAATATAATTTTTTTTATTATTTATTTAAAACTATTTAAGGGTATTATAAAAATATTTTTTTAAATTTTTAAACTAGATTTAAGCCTTATTATATCCCTTTTTTTTAAGGCTTAACCTTTTTAAATTTAATTTTAGGCTTTTAAAAAGCCTTATTTTTTATAATAATAATTATAAGTTTTCATAATTATATCCTACTTTTTATTAAGTTAATATAGCGCCTTTTAAGCAGCTATTTTATTATTATTAATACTTTTAAATTTTTTAAAATTAAACTTACTTATACTAGTACTAAGGTTTAATAGTAAAATAATTTTAAAATAATAACTTAATTTATTATTTAAGCTTAATTTTAAACTAAAGTTAAAAAATTACTAAAGTTAAACATTATTCATTATTAAAACTTAATATAAGGGTTAATAAAATGGTTAGCATAAAAATTAATAAAAAAATTAATATAAAAACTAGTAAACTAATACTATTTTATTTTTAAATTATAAAAGTAACTTTTCTCATTTTCAAAAAATGTTTTAGCTTTAATATATAATATTAATTATATTATAGTTAAAGGGTAAATAAGCTAAGTATTATAACCTTAAATTACTTTGTTATTAAAATAGCTGTAGTTATAATAATTTTTAAACTAATAAGTTATAATAATAATATAAAAAAATAAGGTAAAGGGTATATTTTACCCTATATTTTATTAAGCTTGTAAACTAAATTATTTAAGTTAAGTTATTTTATTTAATTATTTTTAATAATAATAAAATTTTTAAGCATAGGTAAAAAAAAGATATTTTTTTAATTATTTAAGTTTAGGTTTTAAAAACCTTAACTAAAACGCCTATAAACTACTTTTACTTATTTTTTAAAAAATTAATTTAAAATATTATTATTAAAAAAGTTTAAAAAGTAGTAGGTGCAAGTAACTTTAATTATAAAATTAATAAATTTTAAATTTTTTTATTAATAATAAAAATAAAAATAAAAAAATTTAATTAATAAAAATAAATTATTTTAAATTTTACTAAATAATATTAAAAAAGTTACTTAAAAATTTACAAAAAAGTCTAGCCTTAAGGCTATTTTTATAAACTTTTAAATTATACTTAAGTTATTTTTAATTAAAAAATAAATATAAGTTTAAAATACTTTATACACGGGTTTTTACTTAAGCTTATACTTAAAATTTATTTTAATTTTACTTAATTAATAATTAAAATTTTAAATAATAATAACTTAATTAAGTTGTATAGCCTAATATAATAATAAAATATATTAAATTTTGATAACCTAAGGCTAAAGCTTAGGTTACTTAAGGCGCTAACTTTAAACTAATAGTGGGTTAGCTCTAGTAATATTAAATAAAAAAATATTGGCCCTAACAATATACCCCTCTTATATTTTCTAAGCTATTTTTTTTACTTTTAAAATATTATTTCTTTATATTAATTTTGTTATTTTTAACCTTTACTTAATAAAGAAGTTAATTATATTTTAATTTTAAGCTATACCTAATTTAGCCCCCTAAGTAATCTTTTAATATAAATTTATAAGTTAAGTTATTATAACTAGGTTTTACAAGTCCTGTATTCTTCTAAGGCAGGTTTATAATATATACTCCTATAGTAAACTTTAAAGTATTATTTTTGCAAATATATACTTATAATTCTTCATAGATAACTGGGTCTGGTAGATAGAGGACATATTCTAGTAAGAGGTCGCGGTGGGAGGCGGAAACAGACTCAGCGTGCAGTTTGCTAGAATTGGGAACTGAAATGGTGCAAGGGGGCGCTAGGCCGCTTGACTTTGCATGATGCAAACTACTAGTTGTTTTAAAGGTTCGTGTGGCGATTATTTGGCGATGATTCGACCTTGATGTCAGTTGGATCCCTAGGTAGGATGTCCATGGTTAGGGGTGCTACTGTGGGTATGTCTATAACAATGGATCTCAAGGCTTCCAACCATTGCGGCGGGGGGTTTTACTGCCTGTAGGACATAAGGGCATCATAACCAAGATAGTACTAGTAATAGTTAACTGATCCACCAAATTTGTATATCGGGGGGCTCTCTCTTGGCCTTCAAGAGTGGCTGATGTTGATGCCACGAGCACAGGGCTCTGATCTTGACCAAGCCGACCATGGTCGATGCCATCGACTGAATCAAGATCATAGCTCGTAAATTCCAATGTTTGTCCATGTCAATACATAGCTGGAAAGGGAAACGTATTATAGGTATGGAGGAGACAGGGCAGGAGCTGCAAGAAAGCAACAAAGCAGACTGCCTCCCAGATATGCATTGCCCAATACAGCATTAATGACAAAACCGCCCCCGTTTGATGAAACCGAAACTATCAAAATCCAGGCCGCACCGCAAACGTGCAGATACTGGTGACCCTCCTCCGCATAAACTGCTGCTTTGACGCCTGACCAACGGGCGCCTGTTTGGCCTTTGTCAGGACGGGTTGACACACGGCTTCTGGACAACCTTTCCTTGTCTCCTCAGAGTAAGCCTGTTGAACGAACTCCCCGACTCTCCTCAACAGCGCCCTATCGCGCGGGATATAATGACCGCCGCCATGGTACATAACCTGCGGGCTCACAAAGACAGAGACCAGCTCCCTACTCTTAATATCGGCAATCATTGTATCCAGCTCGGCAATCACATGCAGCGAGGGCGTCGACAAGCTCGACTCATAGAAGCCGCTGTAGTACTTCATCGTCCCTCGAAAGCCCGAGATACAAACCACAAACTTCAGCGGTTCCTGGCCCGGTAAATTCTGCAGAAACGCGTCAACCGGCAGGCCCTGCGCAGCCAGTGCACTTCGTCGTCTCGGGTTCGTCGACGCATCACATAACCCCGTCACCATGGCGGCCAGTGCACCGCCTTGCGAGAATCCAACGGCTGCATGGATAGGCCGTCTATCCAAGGACTCAGATAGCCGGACCAGTGTCCCCTCGAGCCCGACATATCGGCTTACGTCGTCGAGATTGAGCCACCAGGCTCTGCTTTCGAGATCGGACGGCTCGGTTGTCTCGCTGCCGAAGACGAAAGGGGCGTCGGGGAAGATAAATTCGATGCCGTCGGGGTAAGAGGGGAGAATGGTTGGAAGCAGTGAGGAAGTTATTTGCTCGGTTAGGAGGCGGGCTTTGACGCGGAAGCGTTCGGAGGATTGAGCGTATCATAGAGGGATATTAGAATGCTGTGAAGGAACCCCCGGGGGTTGGACCTACCATGCAGCATTAGGATGCGAAATGTGCGTGGAGTTTCTATGATGGAAGGCATTGTTATCGTTGCAATGTGGTCGGGACTTGTCTGCTAGGGCAATGTATGCATTCTCGACGTGATTATATACTTATTAAACACCCACGCACCCGGCCTTGACCGACCGGCTGGAACAAGCACTGATTTACGCAAGCGCAAGCCACCGGCGACTCCGGAGTAAGCACAGTGCGAATCTGGGATAATGGTCTGACTCGTGTGCCTGCAGAACGCATAGCCTGACTCGGCCAATGCAACGCATGCAAGTTCATGCAAGTTCATGCAAGCATTGTCACCGACTCTTGGGGTTGTCCGAGTTCCTGGGTGTGGCCCTTGATCCGTGTCTCACCGGGCCTTTGGGTGAACCTCGGGTTCCTTGGACATCGAGAACGGGCCAATCAAAGGCTTATGATACCGTAGGTTCGCGCTGCAATGCACGTTTTTTCTGGTGACTTAGTGACTGACGGGACTATGGACGAAGCACCGTGTGAAGCACCCAAGTGCGGGTCCATATCGCATAAGTGGCGATGTGAACTACAATTTTGGTACTTGAGGTCTTATAAATGAACCCAGACAAATCCAGCTGAAGGGTGGAGTAGCCAGATCGGATAGGTACCAATATGGCGGGCTGAATGATGGGACTGTGGCTTGCGTAGCTTAGATTAAGGTCGGGCAGCAGACAATTAGGGCTGCACAAACCTGCATTATCAGTGTACCGTAGGACAAGACATTTCCTCCATAAACGTGCCCCTAGTCTTCTTCCTCCAAAGCCATCTTTACCAATTGCGATTGTGATATACAACTAGCAAGGCCATGATCACCGGATGATCTCCGAGCGACCACCTGTCTCTCCCGACTAACTCGACAATCGGCAGATTTAGGCGAGCAGTGGGTCCACCGCGATCTACTGCATTACAGATCTTGATGGAAGAGGGTTTTGTTGCCCAAGCCACAATAGCGGGGCTACTGGATTCGCTGCGCAGTCGTCCTTCACGGAGTGTCGCAAAAAACAATGGTTGCACGCGTACTGTTAGCGGTGGCGCGCAGGGAGAGTGCCGAGCTGAGGGTCTCAATTGGAGAGAGCTTTTTCGATGTTCTCCGCAGGAATATTTCATTTGAATGGCCGGTGCCATGACCATCTCAGCTTGCGACTTGGGTTCAACCTTCGGCAGCGTAGACAGAGGCAAATACTTACATCCATGTTTATCAAAGCGCCATCGGTACGGAGTAGTGCTTTAAGCGACTCCACAACGATCAGTATGTAGGTAGCAAAGTGCGAGATGCAGAATGTTATAAAAAGCTTACTTGAGGTGTAAATAGAATAGGCACTGCTGTTTGAACGACACTGGCGCGGTAAAAAGCGACCTGAAGGTCAAGTGTGAATAGTTTTATGCTTGACATAACGCTAACTCCAGTGGCCGTGGCCGGCCATGTAGTAACATCACGCGGCAGTACAGAGATGTTATAGCAACTCTGCGGACATGGCTGTAAATATGTTCATTAACAGGCAAATGTGATATTCCTCAAACCCCTTTTTTCACTCCCATGCAATATTCGTTTCCCCCCCATCCCACCTGGATAAAGCCATGGGGCAGGTTCAAAGACTTCAAAGGCACTGGATGCCCTGCACAAAGACACCCGTTTGCAAATTGTTATTGAGGGAGTTGCCAACTGTCTTAGCGCCTGATCTATTAAACTGGTCAAAGACAGTATCTCACATGTTATCACACTAGACCATTAACTCTCATGTAATACAATAATGCGAGTACGAGGGTCACAGGACAAAGCAACTCCCTCACTTTATTATCAAGCATAATGAAAGTTATAAAGCAGTCCATTGTTATATCACAAAGGTGAGACAAAGGCCATGAAAGTACAGTAGAAAGAAGCGCAAAGCATGGTATGCTTTCTCCTGTCAAGTATTTAACATGCTTCCTTCTCCCTGTGCTACGGTGTTAGATCAATAACTTATTTATCTGAACAGCATTCCAGTGCCAACTGATAAAGGGAGTATATCTAGTTGACGTGGACCATATTGACCCAAATCAAGAGGGCCAATACTTCCAAAGCTACTAACACTCTACCGTACGTGACTAACTAATCTGTTCAAGATGTCAACATGCACAGAAGACCGAGATGAAAGCAGCCTGTCACGCGACGAGGTTGCCTACATCACCGCCATCATCCAACGAACCGAGAGGGCCATCCGTGAGAACGACATCAAAATTCTAAAGCGGCAGCTGATCTCCATGGCCCTAAAGCGCCCAACTCCCCGTCGTTTGATCCGTGTGGGCATACGCGCTAGCATTGCCAACAAGAACTTTGAGAGCTTTGTACTCTTCTTTAATGAGTTCGTCAAACAGCGCGAGGCATTTTACAACCATATTGAGAGCACGGCCGGAACTGAGGAAGAGCGGGCTGTAAGAGCGGTAGACGACCAGCAAAAAGAGCGCGACCACGACTTTGAGACCTGGCTCTCGATCTACTTCAGGACCGCGCAGAAGGACGGCTTGCAAGAAGTGGTAGGACATATACTCCGCCATGTCCAGGACGCTCAGTACGGACTAGTCCTAGACAAGGTCTACGACGTCCGTCCTGGGTGCACCAAGTCCGAGACCCTCGTGAAACTGATGTTCGCCAGCATCGACCACAACGACCAGCACACGGCCCGAGAAATCCTAAGAGAGAACTTCCAGTTCAAGGCCATAACGGGAATCCTCGAGTACGTCTGGCGCCGGAAACTAACCGCGTTCATACCCATGGTCATCGACAACATCCTCCTCCCGAACAAGGGCGGCCTCCTCATGCTCGAGCAAGTGGTAACGCACAACTTCGGGCTGCGCGAGCATCCCGTTGCACGACCCATTGAAGCCAGACGCATGCTAACCATCGAGCCACCTCTCAAGGAAGCCCTGGAGGAGAAATGGGACGAGGGCATCAACCTCCTTCTACCAGCGTACATCCAGTGCCTGGCTGACGTCGACCGCGGGAACTCCCAGGACTACAACGCTAACATCCTGAGCCTCGCAACCGTCGACCACCTGGTCCACGCCATGACCCGCCCCCAGGCAATCTCGTACCTGGACGTCGACCTCCCGCCCATCGCGCGCCGCGCCGTCTTCCGACGCCTCCAGGTTCCGGACGGTGGCGACGGCGGGATGATTGAGATCAAGTGCGGCGAGACGAAGTTCAGCGCGCAGCAGGACCTCCTGTGCTACTGGTCGGGATATTTTCAGGGTCGGACGCGGCATGGGTGGCTTGATAGCTCGGCTGTGGACTTTGGGGACGATATTGATCCGGAGATCATGTCGGCTATTCTGGCCTTCGTGTACACGGGTGAGTATGATTACCAGGGAGACCAGGCTGGGCGGTTCAACTTCCTCGTTTATCTTGGGAAAGTGTCGGATTATCTGCTGATCGACAGGCTCTTGGTTCGTGCGCAGGCTTTGATGGGGCCCAGGCTTATGCCGGCGGCTTATGGGGTGCCTGATCGGTTTCGGAATTTCACGTAAGTGGCTGGAGTGTTTGTTCATTGTTTATTTGTTTGCGTGTGATTTGAATATTGTTTGCTTTTGCGTTTGCTTTTCTCACGAGTACTCAGTGCCGTTTGGTACATTAGATGGTTTTGTAGTCAAAGTAGATACGTAGACTCTCATGGCCCAGAAGCGATACCTTCACTTAGGCTGGATGCCGCGAGAGACCGGACTTGTTACAGCCTTTATGAGGGATATCGGGCTACTTTCAAGGTATAGGGCCACCAGCAAGGGTCGCATTTTGTACTTAGTTGGTCATTGATAATGACCGTTTCCATGCCCTAGACCAAATTTGACAAGCAGGCTTGATATTCAGGTCAAGCAATCTATATACCTTCTATAGCATGAGAATACCTGGCCCTGGCTTTGCGGAGCTGCATATTCCAGCTCTCAGAAGCCAAGTTTCAAGTAGCCCGAGTAGTTTAAGACCTTTAACTTAAACAACATGGCCCCGGGACTCTACCACCATCACTAGTCACATAAAGCGCAAAGCAGTCAAATAAACCACAAAGCATGTGCTAAAAAGCATTTGCTGTCCTTAAAGACAAATTCTTCATAGCGCGAGTTAGCTATCAGCCCCTGAGAACAAATTCTCCGTCTAACCATTATCTTTCGATACTCCATTGACAGACACAACGTAGAGAAGGCCACTTGACATTAACAAAGCATCAAAGCACTTTTGAACCCTGTAGCATAGTCCTTGCCGTCTGGGTCTGGATCGATATGTCTCTCCATTGCACTTTCCTCAGAACTTCTCACATGACACCGTAGGAGCAGAGGCCACTTAAATGCGAATCCTTAGTTTACAGGTTCATATTTGTTCTTAGGACGGTTTGTCCTACTAATACGTCATAAAGAGCTAGTCTGATTCCATGCAGGGCACTTCCTTCACTGGGAAACATGAAACTGGCGATGGTCATTATCAGCCGACGTCTTTATTGGCTCTGATGAAAGCAAGCTTCACAGCTCCATTCACTGCAACCAATATTTAACAAACTTCCCTTTTTGCTGGACAATATAAGTACTCTCAACACCGAGTCCCTCCATCGTCCTCATCTATCGTTTGTACATCCCACCATTCTCTTCATATCACCCGGCCACCTAACACACCTGTTCCTTGATTTTGCCGCTGTGCACGGCTTCCTGCCATTCTATTACACACTGATCAATCTCAACTAAGCTACTGCCTCCGAAATGCCGGTCGATCCTAAGAGGGCGCACCTTGGCGTCTGCGCAGAGAAATACGTCTATCAGCTGAGAAAGCCCGACCCAAAGCCGTACTGGGAGGAGCTGGAAGGGATCAAGGAACTCTTCGACTACCGTGTCCAGGAACACATCGACTCCTGCATGCACAATCTCGACAAGCTCAAGAGACTGATTCCCGAGATCCCCTTATCCGAAAAGCCTCATGCCCAGATCCGGTACGCCTTCAAAAAGGCCGCGGGGAATGGCAGCCTTGGGATCTACAACTACCTCCGCTCTCTATTCGTCGAGGATATGACTGCTTACAGTGCCTTCTGTGCAAAGGCCGCGAATACGGGATTCCCGTGGTGGTCCGACAACGAGGAGGAGGAAGAGTGGTGCCGGCTACGAAGTGTATTCGGAGACGGCAAATCTTACGTATACTACACCGATCTCGGCGAAGCATTCTGCAGTGCTCTGGAGGCCAACGATCTGTGCGGCAGCCCTGGCGACATCGACCACTTCGCTATTGCCGACCACATCATGGCCATCGTTTATGATGGCCCGAACTATGGCGCTGCTGTTGGCAAAGCCCACGGATATGGCGAGTACTACGCCCGAGACCGATTCGCCGAGAAGGCCGTCGGCAAGGCAATCCAGCTCGGATACCCTTACGAGAGATTCGCCGAGCGAATGGCGGCATTCCAGGCCTGCGGTGAGGACGTCTTGGGAACGATCCTAGCGGCTGCTGTCAACGACAACTGCATGGACGTATTCGAGCGCGCCCTTTCCAACCTCGTTTCGGAGGAGAGGAAGAGCGCCTTCCGCAAGGCCCAGGAGAACGAATCCACCTGGCAAAAAGGCTGGAAATGGACGCTCGAACACGCCGTCGAACTGGCAATAATCCAAGCTATTTGGAAAGAGCGGAACTTTTTCAGGCCAACGTTCGCGATGATGATTTTCCCGGTGTACCTTGATGCTAGACTGCCGTGTGGATCTCTGAGGCGTTTCTGCATCGAGCCCCTAGAAGGCTTTACCGTTGCGTTGTGCAGGGCCAGTATGACCCACGACCAGTGCAAGGAGCTGATCCGAAGGTTCCGGGATCCGTTCGACATGCCGGATGAATTCCGTGGTGTCCTTCTCGACCGCCGCCGTGAGGACTCTGGTGCCCCGGTATTGAAATGGTGCGGGCTCGTGAGAGGCCTACATAGAAGGAAACGCCTCCTGGCCAGGCCTTCTTTCGACGCTTCCGCAGTTGGGGAGCGGGATACGACTTCAACTCTCCTCTCATTTATTGCCTCAGCCGTCATTTTCTGCGTTGGCGTTTTGTTTGCCGTTTCATGTACTCGGGGGTGATGTCCATGTCGAGGTAGTCGCTTTCAGGCTAGGCATGCACCACCTACCATGCACTACCCTTCTTATTATTCAACCTGCTTTAAGGATTGAGTTTGATGAAGACTAGTTCCAATCTTACTCATAGCTCCTCTTCGCCCTCTGTAACCGCAATGTGTCTGCCTGGGATCGCTTTGGCTCCCCTCGGAATGTATGGTAGATTCTTTGACTTCGCTGCCAAGGTAACCCTACCCAAGCTTTTCGTGGACATTTGCTGTATCTCATAATCTCCAGTATCAAGGTCTCTTATGATGTCAAAAGCGGATTTGATCGTGCACCTGGATGAGGATTCCGAGCTCGGTTCCGCTGTGCCACTGGAGCTGTACCTCTCCGAAACTCCAGTCTGAATAAACCGTTGCGGAACAGGACCGAAGCAGCGTATTTGGTAGTACTTCGACTGATTATCAAAGCATCAAAATTTCTCCTGTCCATGCCAAAGCTCGGCGATGAGAACAGGGCTAGGCGCTAAATATTGTGGATCCTTTACTCCCAACTTAGCAAGTTAGAGCTGATAAGTGAAGACGCATCCATTCACGCATGCGTAGACTACCCTGGCCTAGGTGGATAGACGCAGATTCCTCAATCAACGACCATGCCTACCCCAGCCAACAAGTCTACTCCCCCTTCCTCCCTCCTCCCCTCCAACTGTCCCCAATATACGCCGTCCCATGAATCCCATCCAAAAGCCCCAACGTGCCAAAATTGACATTGCCACGCTCATGATGGCGATCATGCCGCTCGCCCCCAACTCCAAAGCCCGGGATAACGTACCCCGAATGCGACAGAACGCTCTGCGCCACGCTGCCTGCTAAAAAGAGCCAAAATGTCAGGATATGCGCGCCGGCCAGGCGCGCGGGCAGCGAGATCGGCACGATGTCGATGAGGACGTGCTCGAGCGGGTGGCAGTGCTGTGCTGCGAGGGCGACGGGCGCGCTGAACTCGTGGTGTGTTTTGTGGATGGGTTTGTAGAGGCGGGGGTGGTGGAGGAGGCGGTGGGTGTAGTAGATTAGGATTTCGCGGAGGAGGATGCACGCGGGTATTTGGGCGATTAGGTCACGGCCGGACGGGGGGGTCGGTGTGATGGTGTAGACTGAGGGGCGGGAGCTGAAAAGGGGGAGGAGCGAGAACTGGGCGAGGTGGAGGATGCAGGTTAGGGCCTGATTCTTGAGTGCGCTGGCGAGGGCTGTCCGGATCGCGGCGCGACTGGGCTGTTTTGAGGGGGCTTGGATTTTGTGCCAGAAGAGGCGTGGGAGGAGGTTGAGGTCTAGGGCTGTGAAGAGGAGGGAGGGGATCCAGAAGGTTGCTATTTCCGTGCCGGCGGAGGGGGTGTTTTTAGTATAGTGCTAGTATAGCCCTAATATTATATTAATTATAAATATTATTATAATATTATATTGAGATGAAGTATATTACTAATACTATATTTAAATTAATATATCTTATTTTTAAATATATATATTTAGTTTTATAATATATAATATATATAATYTATATTTAAAATAATATATATTAAATTTTTAATATATATTTTTAATTAATATATATTTTTCCTAAAAAAGTATATATTTACTTAATAAAATATATATTATTTAATCTGGATATATATTATACAAGTCTGATACGTATTCGGCTTTCTGATATATATTATACTTTTTAATATAAACTAAATATTTATTAGTTAAAAAGAGTATTAAATACTATATTAATAGTATATTAAGGCTTATATAATATATATATATATATATATATATAT